ACTACACACACACACACACACACACCACACATGCATGCCACCTCAAATTTACTCCAAAATAAAACTACAACGACTGAATTTTGATCTCTAACTCTAACCAAACAGGCAAACAATGCTAGAGTTGAAATAGCATAATTATAATATAATATATAGAAAGCTTGTATGGTAAATTGAGGTCATACATAATGTATGTATTTTCTACAAGGCTTTTGGACTAGTTCTGGGGCAGGATGTGATGGTAGTGGTAAAAATTGTGCAGTAGATTTGGCGTCTTATGATCTTGTCTCAGGGAACTGTCCCATCAGTACGTTTTGTCTACTTATCCTCTAGCCCCTTCTCTCTCTCTCTCTCTTTCTTTCTCTGTCCACATTTTTATGGTGCCTCACCTCAATGCCCTTCTGTTGGCTTCTTTACTATGATAGGGTAAACATCGTACTGACCAGCGTACACCTGAGACTTTTCTTCTTGATGGGGTGATGATTGGAAAGTATGGGCGAAAAAAACCCTCAGAAAATTACATTGTAATATGGTACAAGAAACTGTAAATGGGGCCCTTGGTAAAGTTAATACAATTGTGTCTGCTGAAACTGAACATGGTTGATCTAAAAGCAGCGGTATACCGAAAGAAAACTAGAATTTGTGATTTTTTTTCTTCACTAATTGATCAATCTCTCTAAATTGAAAACACAGCGAAACTTAAACCCCCCAAAAATCCTGCCGTCCGGCAGATTTCCGTTTAAACGTTCTCCACTGTATTTTCAAAATCTTAGGAGAATGACGTTCTCTTGTCCAATATGAATGTTTTAGTAATCTTTTAGTTCAAAGGATTGGCTCTCACTCAACTCAGCTTAAATCTTTGTATCGACGGATACCCCTTTGCTGCAGAGTCCATTATTTTGTCATTGCAGCTCTTTGCTGAACAAGTCTGTCTACGATGCTGATTCTTTTGTGCTTTTACACTCCTAAAGTGTTATTGATTTTGACGTTGTGCCATATCAATGTTCATAATAGTCCTGTCCGCTTGTAGAGAAATAGCTAGCTGTACTTGTTCCTATCATGGTTGATGGATGGGCCCATAAGACTCGGTGGAACATAGAACAAAGAGAAGATTAGAGGGCTGCGTTCATACTTAATGAAGTTGTGCTGGTGTTTCTTTTTTTGTTGTTTTGTTTTTGTGGTGACTTAAGTTTTGGATATGATTACTCTTCTAATAGAGAAATTCTTTTCGCGTTTGGCGTGTCACATAATATGCACAATTTTATTGCACCGTGCATTTTAAGCTTTCTATTGTGTTATTGTTCTGATTTTGTCATTTTTCTGTGAGATGGATTGATGCTGTTTTTGAATTGAAATGGAGTTCTTTTTGTACACATTTTTGTTTGTACATTTGTGAGGAATGCTGGCAAAAAGAGTTGCTTTTTCGTATGTGACTGTGAATAGGGATATTGGCTGAAAATTGACACCGGGGTAACATTTTTAGATTTTCAAGTGATGCCATTTTCTTTTAGTTAAACATGTCTGTTATCATTTCATGTCTCTAAATTGTACCAGCTCAACCAATGAATTTGACATATATTTGTCGATCGGGCTAAAATCAGAGAAGTGAGTCATTTTGTCAGCACACCTAACATTTGTGTTTTCGGAGCAGCTGCTTGTTAGTTAAGAAATACTTGCTTTTTTCTTTCTTGTGAGACTACTTAGAGGGTTTGTTTGTTTGTTTTTGTTTGCCTCGGGGTACACGCTACCTTCAGCCACATCTTCCTCCCACTAGCCAGTGAAATGTGAAGATTCCCTTACATTAAGTTGCCTCAGATGTTGTTACTGTAAGAAATACATGTATGTCCATCTTCAACAAATTTTTAAACGTTTGCATTGTTCTACTCCTGAGAGGACTTTTTTATACCTCCCCTTATTTTTTATATAAAAGATTTAACAAGAGAATTGTTTATACTGGATAAAATCAGAAAGTTTCGTAAATTATCTAAATTGTGTCGATGGGGGCTTAAAAACACTTACATTGAAAAAAAACAACAACCCAGCAACAAACCCCCCCCCCAACAATTCCCACTCCCACCACCCAATCTGTCATGGGTGTGCTGACTGTCCATGAATTCTGGGAACTTGTCCGCCAGATGTATCGGGGACTCAGAGATGTCGGAGGACGAGGACGGGGAGTCGTACCACAGCGCCACCGACGTCTGTGCTCACGACTACGCCTTCTCCAAGCCCGTGCTGCGAGAGACAGGGCCAGGTGTAGATGCTTTTTCCTTCTGAGCAGCTCAGACATGGGTGGACCGAGTTCGATTCCCGAGTGGGGAGAGTTTTTGAATTAATCGAGGATCTTGGTCTTTCTGTTGGGATGTTGTATCCTTCTCCCTTCTTAACCCTATCCGTACGCCCTGGGGTCATTTTGTACTCCCGGGATTGTATTCGTCACATTTTAGAATACTTCTAGTACGAAGATCTCTTTGAAACTTTCAGTATTTCTCAAAAAATAATTTTAATAGACTGCTATGCAAAGCGTACGGATCGGATTAACGAGTAATTTCCTCTTTGGAAAGGGGTGGCACAAAGTTCCCCACGTCGTATGGATACGATAGTAAAACATGACTTACGGATAGGGTTAATCAGCTGCTTGCACTGTTATGCTTCCCGGGAAGCTGAGAATGTTTCTGAGTGTTCTATGGTCTGATGGGGTTTAATATAGTGTAAAGTGCATAGAGCTTGCTGTTGAGTGGGAGTTTGTGCTGTACAAATGCTATTTGTTATTATTATTATTATTTTTCTCAGCCTGGGTTAGCCTGACAGGCGTGGTCGAAAGTCCGCATCCTAATTGATCTAAATTGTGTCGATGGTGGTGTAAAAGCATCTACATTAAGAAGATAAAAAAGACGCAGGACGTGCATGTCTTTGCTACTTTAGTGAAGAGACTTTGGGTCTTGTTGGCAGCACATGTTTTGGGGGTGGTTTCAGTTTTGGTCACTGTCTGTACATTTCCTTACATTTCTGTAAGGACTTCTCTGTTGACGTTCACCCCTTGGCGCTCATATGACCTTATGCAGTTATGAGTGCCGAAAGACCTGTACTAAAAACTTTCCTTACATTTTGAATGTTGTTAGAGAAATTGTTTTAAGTTTAAGATTATGAAAATATACCTTTGGAAAGGTAAATGTTCGTATTTTGCAGTATTAATACTTCATTTGCATCATGAATGATCCTGGGATTGTTAAGATTCTAAAATGGCCTCTGAGCAAGAGAGTGTTTGATTTTGATTGTCACGACTGCAGAATTTTAAGAATCTTAATTTGCTCTGAGTGGCATATTCATGGTTTTTCTTTTTTCTTTTTTTTTTTTTTTTCATTTTTTTTTTCACACACCTGCTTGGTTGCACCCTGTGGAATACAGGAGGGAGCCAAACAGTTATCCATTATGTAAATACTGATGCATACATTACATTACGTGTGATTGATATCAAAGAACATAAAACTGATGTTGAGGACATAATGTATCCAAATCACGTTTGAATTTTACATTTCTTTCAATGCATTTGGGCCTGTTTCACTGCCAAGATAATATGAGTTTTTATGTCCATCCCTTTTTTTCCATTTTCACAAGAGGACATCTTGGGTTATATGGTGGCATTTTGTGACAAACATGACAGAGGGGGCTTACGGTGGAGAGACTTTTCTGTGAATGAGAAGTGAACAGTCTTCACAAAATGTTTCCTCATGTCACAGAAATGTCCCCATTCCCCATCGCAACTAGCTGCGAATTAACATTTTGTCTTTCTTTTTCTTTTTTTTGTTTTTTTCAAAGTGTTGCACTGGCGTCTGTGGTGTAGTGGTTAGAATAATGTCTGTTGCGCATAGAATACATGAGTTTGATTCCATTGAGGGAAGTCTTTTTTAAAATCGAGAATTTTTCACTTTTTGCTGGGACGTTGTATCCCTCCCAGCCCAGGTTGGCCCCGACAAGCATGGTTGGAAGTCCACCTCCTAAATGATCTAAATTGTGTTGATGGGGGCGTAAAAACACCTACGTTAAAAATGTATATTTAGAAACAATTACTCGATTGTGATGTCTGCTGTGGAAATTTCCCGTCAGCCATGTTTGTCTTGTTCACACTCACAGCTCGAACTTTAGCAGGGACTTTGAAAAAAAAAATTGATGACTTTCTTCTTGCCAAAGACACAAGACGGGAGAAAGAAGCCATATATGGAATTCAAACAATATTATTAGGGCAACCTCACTGCTGTGCTTCAGAGGGATCATGTCATTGTCAGTCTTGTACAGGATGCTAGGACTGGGTTTACAGACCTTTAAAATGGTACCATACCGGCTTCATGCCCCTCCCCTACCAACACTATCAGTATTAGGTTATTATAGAGGTGTGACCTCCGAGTTAAATGCACATCTCCAAAAGGACCGAGCCAAATGGGAAATTCATGTGTTAGTTAAGTGCCTTTCTCAAGGACACAACACCAGACCGAGCTGAGGCTTGAACTCCCGATTCCACAATGTCAAGATTATGGATTTGGTAGCCATCAAAGTATCATCACTAGGCCACCGACGCCACTCAACAAAAAGTACCATCTGTAATAGTAGGTGTATATTGCATAGAGCCTGCTGTGGAGCCTGAAGATGCATTATATAAATGCGATTATCATTATTATTATTCCTTTAAAAAAAAGAAGCAATTTAAGTAGAATTTGGTAATTATTTAATTTCACTTCTGGAGTGCGAAAGTAACTTTAAAACAATCTTTGTTGTTTGGATGTACGTACCATATGTCCCCACGTGTGAGATTCGAGGCGATACACGCCGGAACAAAATGTGAGGCAGCGTGGTGAAATCAGGCCGTCGTCAAAATAATGAAAGTCAAGAAATTTGCATTTTTCCGCAAGTTAGGGAATTTTTATCAAATTTTTGTTTTTTGGCTCAACACCTTTCATGCCGTTTGAAGAACACATTTCTGTGTAGATTATACTGAAAAACTATTAATAAAGGCATAATAGATGTACATTTTCCGTTTCCATGGACTCTCAGACTAAGGAAATAAATCAACTTTGGCGGCCATTTTCTCGCTAATTTTACCTCTGAAACCAGGCAACCCCCACCTCCTTCAATGGAAATATGTTGAATTGTATACAGGATAAATTTTTTTTCTTTCATCAAAACCTAGGCAAATAGACCGGCTTTAAGATTATACCAATAACTCCATATGCCCCAAAGTTGACAAGCGCCTGATTCCACCGCATCGTGTCACAAATGTATTTATTCTCAATGGATGCAGCTCACCAATATTTCTGAACACATTCCTGCATTTTCTCTATTGTTTCTATCATTGACAATACATTGTTTCTGTTGCTCTTTAGGCTTCCTCACTTACCACTGAAGCCTTTTGTACATCCATATTATTTGTGCATCGATTGTTGTTTGGTTTTTACATTTTTTTGCACTTCATTTTTTTCTAAGTATTCTAAGAACACTCATGATGGCATGGTTTTTGTTTTGACTTTTCTGAAAAGCACTTCTCCTAAGTCGTGAGAAATGTAGCTATTGTGTGATGAATGCACCAGGATGTGATATATATAATGGTTTGGGGGAGACAGGGCAAAACAAACACAGAACGGCTGTACCATATTGCATTGTGAAGGTCATTAATAAACCTTTTATCAAAAAAAAGGAAAATTCCTGAAGTTTTTGTTCCTCGTGTCTGAATTTGTGTTTTTTCACTCGTCTCGTGGGTGGTTGGCGTGTGCTCTGGTGTGGTTTTCTCCTTCTGTCCTTTCAAACATCTATTATCGTTATCTCTCTTTTATTTGTATGTTACTCTCTGGTAACACTTCTAATCTTCGGCACTTATATGATCTAATTGTGTTGCAAGTACCGTAAAACTAAAACACTCACTAAAACTTAACTCACTTGTCTCTGGTGATTGGTTGGTGGGTGCTCTGGTGTGGTATGGTCCTTTACTCCTATCATATATCTGTCATCCTCATCTCTCCCAACTTGTATTTTGTGTTTGCCTCTCTCTCATTGCGTCAGTGGCCTTGAAGATGAAGTCACTCTTCTGTATTTCATGATCAAAATACAGTATAACACAGATAGGTCGAAAACAGAAGACTCGATTTCATGGATCTGTCGAACTGTGTCAGCCGTCCCTTTTTTTCTTCTTTATCTTTGTAAGATACCCCTCGAACTCCGGATCCCTCGAACTACCGAGGCTGGTCCCGACGAATTCGAGCTATCCGCGTTATATTGTATAAAAGGTTCGGTTCCTGACCATGCCAAGTCATGTGTGGTAACAGCCCATATACAAAGGAAGGCTAAGATGAACGAGTTTGATTTATGACCAAGTCTGACTTCAGCCATTTAATTATACCATGTTGACAATATAGAAATCCTCAGCCAGCAGTTCAGATGTATTAAGCCCAAAATTTTCCACTTTAAAAAAAATTAGTTTCTTAATTTGAAGTATTCATTGTATGTGCTTGAGAAATATTTTGTCAAAATCCAATTTCTGTATGTGGAACGACAAAAAACCCCCAACATAATGCAAGTTATTAGTAAGTACAATTTTTAAAAGAAACGTTTGGTTTTTTTTTCTGAATAATTTTGCTTTCTAGGCCTAGACCAGTTGAAAAGCTTGCTGATGATTTATTATATATGTCCCGACATGGTAGAATCAAGCGCTCATCAATTTTTGGTCATTTGGAGTTATTAGTATCATCTTAAAGCTTGTTTATTTGTTTTGCTTTCGATGAAAAAATTACCCATCTATCTTGAATAGACGTGGAGAAATTTGACGTTGAATGAGGTTGGGGTTGCTAGGTTTCAGAAGTAAAATTACTGAGAAAATGACGGCCAAAGTGTAGTGATTTCCCAAGTTGGAGAGTCTTTGGAAACTGAAAATTTATGTTTTTAGTGCCTTTAATCGCTTTCAGTAAAAATCCATGCAGAAATGTGTTTTTAAGTGGACGTAAACAGTGTTGAGCTAAAAAACAAAAATTTGAAAAAAAAAAATTGCCAGTAACTTCGATTTCATTATTTTGACAAGCACCTGATTTACCATGATGACTCACACACATATATATGTATATATATATATATATAGCATATTATATATATATATATATAAATATATATATATATATATATATATATATATATATATATATATATATAAATATATATTATGGACTAACATAGAGTGTGCACCGGCATGAATATGTATGTGTCACAACGTGGTGGAATCAGGCGCTTGTCAATTTTTGGAGCATGTGCACTTATCAGGAAAGTTTGGCGATTTACAAAGCTTTAGAATCGTTGGAAACTGAAAATTTACATTTTTGTGCTTTTATTCAACTTTTTCAGTAAAATCTACACATAATTGTGTTCTTAAATAGACATATAAGGTGTTGAGCTAAAAAAATTTTTTTTAAAATATTGCCAAACAGGCAGAAAAATGCCGATATTTTCAATTTCATTATTTTAACGAGCGCCTGATTTAACCAAGACTCCACACATATCGACTTCTTAGCCAGTCACACTATGAAATAGCAACAACAGAGAGCATTCTATAGCGCAAATTCCCCCTCAACAGCAAGCTCTGTACGCTTTACAATTTATATTATTACCCCAGCAGACCTGAGAGCATTTTGAAACAATCTCAACTTCCTGGGAAGCATACGGTGCAAGCTGGGCTAAAACACTGACACACTGACAACTGTCTGTGGCAGGGTGCCCATTTCCACCTTGGTGAAGTGAGAAAAATTTGTGGAAAGTGCCTTTCCCAAGGACATAACGTCGGGATGGAGGCTTGAACCCCCGAATCCACAACCTCACGATTTCAAGTCTCCCTCCGAGACCTAACTTCGACAACACACTCTATGGAACATTACAGCAACTGCAGCAAAGCTGCACTTATCACTACATGGCATTGGACAGAAGGGCGAGAGCCCAGATGTTGCTGGATCGATAACAACAACAACAACAACAACAACGATTTCAAGTCCGGTAGCCTAACCACTAGACTACCCACACCAGAGATTGTACACAGGCAGGTTAAACAAAAAAAGAGTGCAGGCTTTCTCTGTACTTTTATGATTTAATTTCTTCAGATAATCAAAACAGAGTACAGTAATTGTATAGTAAGCAAATAAATAACAATATGATCGAGTAAAGTAACAGAAGCTAACTAAATACATATAACTACATTAAGATGCCAATAGAACTTGCAATTGATTTTAAACCAAAGCAAATTTCTACAAAACACAATATGAGATGTAGACGATGTACTATCCTTTTTTACATGAACAAGATTCTCTACAATTACACAGTTGTTCAAAAACAAAAAAAGAAAAGGCATTCCGGGTTTAATATATACAAATCACAGTCATTTCATCACCTGAGAACTGTTTATAGAAAACAGAAGCAAAGCTTCTTCTCTGCATTCCCCGCGCGCGCTAGTTCTCAGGGGTAGTCAAGGAAGCAAAGTTGACAGTACCTTGTTCACACCTTTCAATTAAAAGATTTTCACAACAGGAAGACAGACTTAACAGATCTTTCTCTTCTTTTACATTCTCCTCCCTTGAGAGAGTCTATGTCTACATGACTATGGTCCTCCTACCCACACAGTGGCTGAACTTTACTGTTACAAGGACAGCTATTTTTTCTACCACAGCGTAAGAGCCCTACTCTTTGTTCTGGTTGTTAATTCAGTAGACTTGGGGTGTGTGCCGTTTGGCCTGATGCAATGCTTAACACTTTGCCATCACATCTCGCTGATCAACAAGAAGGCGAAACTTCCGCTGCCGTCACAAAATGCCAGTCAGCGATGTTTACACCGTTTCTTTGGGTTTCCCCCAAAATGCTTGTGATGGCAAGGGTTTTTACTAAATGAGCCTTGTGACGGCAAAGTGTTAAAAAGGTGGAGGTCTTAGACATTTGATTTTTGCTGAATTACAGGATATCATCCGGGGTAGGCATCGGAGGGGAGTATGAAGCTGCCATTGGAGATTCTATAGTTTGGAGCTCAAGCCTCTCAAACAGTAATATGCTACTGTTAAGATAAACACCCATCTATACTGGTAAGAATTTTCTTCAGTCTTGAGAAGAAATACATGATTTACAATCTCTCTTCTTGTGCCAGATCTGAAACAGATATATTGATTGAAAATCATGGTTAACCACTCACTTTCAAATATACCAATCCAAAACTAGAAGGCGTTTGAAATCTATTCTCTTAGCAGAGGCATAACAAACCAAAACAGAGATCTATGTCCAGAAGTCAATATGTTGCTGACCTCACTTATGATACTTTCTGTATTCTCACAAACAAAAAAACCCCTAGAAGATTCCACACGGCCTCAGTCGCGCACAGCGTTGATGATGGCCTTGAGATTCTCACAGCTGCTGACTGTGACCTGTGACATTGACCCTGAGGCCTGGAGGTCATGCAGACTCTCGGCCAGTCGAGGCGCCACGCTCGCAGACTTGACCTGTACCCGTGCCTGGTGAGGGGGAGACATACAGATGATTGAAGGGACAGATGATTGAAAGTACAGATGATTGAAAGGACAGATGATTGAAGGGAGAGATGACTGAAGGGACAGATGATTGAAGGGACAGGCGATAGAAGAGACAGATGATTGAAGGGACAGAAGATTGAAGCTGCACGTGATTGAAGCGAAAGACAATTAAAGCTACAGATGTCTGGCTTGTTTGTTTGTTTGAGTAAAGAGAAGCACATCGACTCAATACTGATCATTTAGTGCTGAGAAAAAGTAAGACAGACAGACAGACAGAAACAATAGAGGGAAAGTAAAGAAGAAGAACCTACCAGTGGTGCCCTCCAAATAGGCCTACCAGCAAGCAAAAGATGAAAAAAGCAGCAGAAGGTTGACAACTCATACAGCATGTTTTAATTTAGTTTTAGTAAGCGTTTTACAGCACTTGCAACACAATAAAGTCATACAAGTGTCGAAAATTAGAGGTGTTACAAGTGAGTAACAAACACAAAAAAGAAGGAGGAGAGATAAAGATGATAGATGTTTGACAGGAAAGAAGAAGCAAACCACACCAGAGCACCCACCATCCACCCCCATATACAGCATGTTTGAGTCATAGAGTCTCACACACACTGACAGGGCAGCACCATTCTGCCACCTTAAAGGAAAACCTAGCAGACCCACATGCCACTCGTGAGATCAAACTGACATTTTTACACATTGGATATAAGAGAAAATAACCACATCTTATCATCTTAGTCTTATATCTGTATCCAAAGCTCAAAGCCTCATATAAAGTATGTGAGGCAGTGTGGCGAAATCAGTTAAAAAACTGGCATTTTTCTACAGGTTTGTGAATTTTTATCCAATTTTTGTTTTTTGGCTCAACACCTTTCATGCCCAATAAAGAACACATTTCTGTGTGGATTTTACTGAAAGATGTTGATTAAAGACACAAAAAAATGTAAATTTTCAGTTTCCACTGACTCTCAAGCTAATGAAATAACTAATCTTTGGCGTCCATTTTCTCACTAGTGATCTTAATTGTGTCGATGGGTGTGTAAAAAAACCCTTTAAAAAACCCAAACATTTATCTCTCCCTCTCTCCCCCCAAAACAATGAAACCTCCTTCTTTTTGTATGTTACTCACTTGTAACAGCTCTAAGCTTTAGTAATTACAATATAACCTATTTGTGTTGAAAGTGCCTTCAAACTTTCACTAAAACGTTATAACCCCCCCAAAAAAACCCATGCCAAAACGGACCTTGTGGTTGTTGTAGACTAGCGCCCACAGAGCTGAGCTGGCCACCAGCTGGGTGCTGCCCTCTTCCTTCTTCTCTATCTGCTGCACCAGCATAGACACCAGCTTGTCTGGAGAGAAAAAAGTATACACATTAGAAGTATACAAATTAAGCAGAGAAAAAGTATACAAATTAAAAATATGTACACATTATCGGGAGAAAAAGTATACAAATCTGGTGGAAAAAGTATACGAAATAAAAGTATACAAATGATCTCGAGAAACAAGTACACAAATTTTAGAAATGACGGTCAGATGTGATTTACTTTTCTGATCCTCTGCTGGAAGAAAAAGACTGTGAGCTGTCAGCCCTTTGCGACCTATGAATACGTAGCATCATATAAGCATCATATCGTATATCTCATTCTAATTGTGGGCGGTTGGTGGATGCTCTGGTTATGTTTGCTCCTTCTTTCCTATCAAACATCTATTGTCCTTGTCTCACCTCCTTTTTTGTGTTTGTTGTTAACTCACGCGTATTACCTCTAATCTTCAGGACTTGAAAGACCTTATTTGAGTTGCAAGTGCCGTAAAACTCATACTAAAACTAAACACCTAAATTCTAAAAATACGTTGCTTTAGAAGTAATGGTCAGATATGAATTACTTTTGAAATCGCCCACTGGAAGAAAGTAACGGTAAACTGTCACCCCTTTGTGACCTAGGAAGACAAAGCACCATATAAACGTTATATCGCATATAAAATTCTGACTTTCTTCTCTCTCCCCCTTCCCCGGTGTACATTTACTTTTTCCTACCAAAAGTAATCCTTCGACAAGGGAGTTCCACAGTTGAAGGTTGCACCAGCCATAGAGGTCTTTTGTCCAAAATATTCGGATTTTGATTTTTCATGATTTTTCTAATTATAATTAGGTGAGTTAAAATGTGTTAACCCTATTCAATTCGGTAAAAAAAAAAACCAAAACCCCAAAAACAAAACAACTATGAAAACATGATCAATTTGCATATTTAAAGTTCAAGAAACATCATCCCTGTCACAAGAAAAACAAGCGACTTCCACAATTTTTATCCACCCTTTTAGAAGAATCAATCGGAGCTTCTCATTTCTCTTACGATACAAAGGATAGGCTCTTGTGCTTTTAAACTCGTTGAATATGCTCTAACAGCCACCTGTCCAAGCCAATCACCTGTACAAACGACCACTTCCTACTTCTCCCTTGCAGTTTTTCCATGTATTATAAAGTTAATGAGGGTGTGGTGGCAGAGCGGTTAGTGCACTTGCCTCCGAAGCGGAAAGTCCGGGTACGAGCCTCGGTTCGGGCATGGATTTTTTTTCACCCCCTCCTGCCCACCCAGGAGTAATGAGTACCTGACTTTACTCCTCAACAATCAGTGACTGCCCATCTTGGACAATTTGATCGGTATTCCCTACCTGCAGCCAGAAGCTTAGGCTTGTTGGGGGCGTGGCAGCAGAGGTTTCTCACGATGAGCGTGGCGCAGTGCTGGCAGCGTGTGGAGCCCACCTCCATCATGTCCAGGAGTACGGTCAGCACGTCTGTGGATCAGGACAAAAATGTGTTGATTAAGAGGTGTTGTGAATCAGGACAAAAACGTGTTGATTAACTCTCTTATCACCATAAAGAGGTCAGCAGGTCAGCAGGTCAGCACAGAAGAACCAAAATGGCTGCCAGCTGATGGCTTCCCAGCAAAAGAAATTGCCTTTGCTTTTGATCTAAGCGACGTATTTCAATTGAAATTTCACATCCAAAAACTTACGATGTCAGCATCTAAATTTAGAGTGGAATGTTCATATTTCTAAGCCTGCATTAAAGGCGGGTGCGTCAGGCAACCTAAACAAATGGGTAACGGGGATATATCAGGGAAATGTAGCTTTTTTAAGAGCATCCGAGCAAAGGAATGAATTGAGAACCATGATCGCTGATGTCTGTCGCAGATCTGGCACTGGATGAGATAGGTCACTTTGCAGAGATGCTGCACATCAGGATCGTCCAAACGATCAACCCACCTGGTATTTTGAGGATGATCTGCTGGCCATCAACACTGAAGGACAACGCCAGAAGTAACTCGCACCACAGCGTTTCCACAACGACACGAACTTTTCCGCGCTTTCGGCGAGGGTTGAGGTTAGAGAACTGGTTCAGGAATGAATTCTGGAGAGACAGAAGTTTAAACAGTGAAGGACGGTAAGTCAAATCGTCACTATAATATGAGAGTAAGTTAGACAAAGACAGTTAAAGTTCTCACTGGCTGCCTATCATATTTTGCTCTGTCAAAACAAGACTTATCTCTGCTACACATATTTTGTGCCTCTGATCAACATCATTTTTCAACATCCCACCCAGCCAGACCATCCGGCTTGCTAGAGACAGAAAGCTCTTTCTCCCCTTGATGTCCAGGAGGTACAAGAAGACGGATAAAGTAAAGTAACGAAGTAGGATCAACATTTTTCATTTAATTCCACAGAAGAAACTTTTCAAATGGTCATAAAAGGTGCAGAGCCCCCCAAAAAAAGAAAATATGGATAAAAAAATTACTCTGTGGGCAGAAAAATTGTCAGTTCCTTCCATTTGTGTCACGACGCGGTAGAATCAGACACTCGTCAATTTTTGGTCTGGTGAAGTTATGGGTATCGTCTTAAAGGTTGTTCATTTGTCTTGCTTTTGATTAAAAAATATCCAGTTCTCTTGAATACAAGTCGAGATATTTGCGACTGAAGGAGGTAGGGGTCACCTGGTTTCAGAGGTAAAATTAGTGGAAAATGGCTGCCAAAGTTTAGTTATTTCCTTAGCTTGAGAGTCCATGAAAACAGCAAATTTACACTTTTTGTGCATTTAATCAACATTTTTCAGTGCTGTCCACACCGGAATGCGTTCTTTAATGGACATGGAAGGAGTTAAGCCAAAAAACAAAAATTCAATAAAAATCCCCAAACCTGCGAAATAATGCCAGTTTTTTAAGTATTATTTTGACGAGTGCCTGATTTCACCACACTGCCTCAAATTCAGGCATTTTGACGAGGGCTTAATTTGACTGCGATGACACACACATGTCCCAGATTTACCTTCCACAGCACGTTGCGACACTCGGCAGACAGGACCAGGTTGGTGAGCAGGGTGAAGGCCTGTCTGAGGGTGGGGGAGCACTCGTCTCTGTCCAGCTCTCTCTGGGCCAGTCGCAGGATGTAGTGGAGCAGGGAGCCTTGACCGCTGGTCTTGCCCGTTGTCTGGGCGGACATTGTGGTGGTCAGTGAGCTGGCCGCTGTGGTGGGAGGAGAGTATCTTTTTATTTGGTAGAAGTTTTACGGCACTCGAAACTGCATAAGGTCATATGAGCGCCAAGGGGTGGATGTCAACAGAGAAGTCTTTACAGGAATCAGGCTTACTCTGCTCACATCTCTAGCTTGAGAGAGAGAGAGAGAGAGAGAGAGAGAGAGAGAGAGAGAGAGAGAGAGAGAGAGAGAGAGAGAGAGAGAGAGAGAGAGAGAGAGAGAGAGAGAGAGAGAGAGAGAGAGTGAGAAAAGTAACTTTTCAGAAAAACACAGGAAATCCATAGATAATGGAGAGCTTGAACGGTCAAATAAGTTCTGAATGGAATGCTGAAGTTTACTTTGATCAAAACCACGTCGCTAAAATTCAACAACTATGCTAAAAATAAACTGACCCGAGTCACAGTGAGCAATGTAAGCCAGTGTCTTTCTCCCTCTCTCTTTCTCTCCCCCCCCCCCCCCCCCCCAGTACTACAAATAGACTAACCAGAGTCACAGTGAGCCGTATAAGCCATCAGCAGAGACAGAGCGCTGGACATCAGAGCGGGGTCTTCCTGACACCACGACCACAGTCTCTGGGCTATAGTGGTCAGTCCACTGTGGAAGCACGCCACCTGGGGAGAAACCATCATCATCATCATCATCACCACTATCATCATCATCATCACTATCATGATATTCACTATCATCATTATCATTATCCAGTGCTAGATCTGCAACAGACATCGGCGATCATGGTTCTCCATTCATTCCTTTGCTAGGATGCTTTTAATAAAAGCTATGTTTCCCTGATCTTTCCCTGTTACCCATTTGTTTAGGTTCCATAAGCAGGTTGCTCTGGGACTACCCCAGCCTCGTTTGCCCTCAATTTTGCCAGTGAGAGCTAGATGTTCAAGACCTTTATGTCTATTCAGGTGTCCCAAAAACTGCATTTGCCGTTTCCTGATTGTTTTGAACAGTGAGTGTTGTACGTGGACTTCATCAAGCACTACCTCATTTATTTCTTTTCATACTATCTGACATTTTTGGTCATTTAGAGTTAAAAAGACCATGAGGTCAGAAACCAATGTTCTATCTACTCTATCAAAATCATAAGATTATTCAGATTTGTTATCCAGATATTCAAAGAATTGAAAAAGTTTGACATAATGTTGAGAAACTCAGAATTTAAAACGACAAATTTCTCAAAACTAGGTACTGAGCAGATAGAACTTTGTAGCAAAAATGTTGTGATTTGGGAAACTCCAAGTACAAGAGCAGATGTTGTACTATTTAGGGGCTCCAGTGGCTAAGTGAGCAGTCACTTCAGACTCAAGTAATGTCAAGCAAGTGTCGGCGACACAGGGTTTAGATGGGTGGTCACTGGGGTGTGTCCTTGAGCAAGACAAGACAACCCTAGCTCAAAATACAGGGCGCTGCACGGTGGCGACCGGTAATGGCATGGTTGTATATTGTTCTGTACTGGTGTAATATTGTGTATTTATGTATGTTTTGGTGAATGTATTTATGTATTCATAATTATGTATGTATGTATGTATGCACGTACGTATGTACGTACGTACGTATGTATGTATGTATGTATGTATGTATGTATGTATGTAAGTATGTATGTATGTATGTACGTATGTATGTATGTATGTATGTATGTACGTACGTACGTACGTATGTATGTATGTTTGACATTGTAAACCAAATTGCCCTTCTGGGATCAATAAAAGTGCAATTTATTTTTTTATTTTATTTATTTCATAGACCTGGTCACACAGTAAGCACAATGGTAATTTTTTTGGGCTGATTCTGTTTAGAGGTTTGTGCTGTGCTCGGAGGCAGAAAATCGTTGTTTAAGACAATTTTAGTACAAGGACAATTCAATTTTTAAAAGAAAATGACTAAATCTCTTCTCATGTCCTCTTCTCAGCAAGAAAGGTTAACGATTTAGTTTTAGTCTTAGTAAAGGTTTTACAGCACTTTCAACACAAATGAATCATAAAAGTGCTGAAGATTTGAGGCGTCTCTAGAGAGTAACATACAAAGAGGGTGAGGCAGTCCAACCTCCCTGAATCCTCCCCAAAGAGATGCCACTGCCAGACCTCCGTGGCAGGGCATCTCTGTAGAGAAGAAGAAGGAGAAATAAGGATGAGAGATGTTTGATAGGAAATAGGAGCCAACCAGACCAGAGCACACACCAACCACCCAGGCAAAGAAAAAAGACACATAAAGTGACAACAAAAACACAGATCTGTGCTGCAGTTTACATTAGTTCAGAACAGAAGCAACGGGTAAAAAAGATGTACAAGGTGCAGACCACAGACTTACAAAGGAAGAAGAAAAAGAAGAAGAAGAAGAAGAAGAAGAAGAAGAAAAAGAAGAAGAACAACAACAACAATAACAACAACAACAACAACCTGGACCGGTCACTTCTTTGGGCTGCGGGCCTACAAAAATAGAATAGCCAAAACATTGGACCCAATCTGTCCATTGTGCAGCGAGGAACCCCAAGATTTGGAGCACTGGCTGCAGAGATGCCCCGCCACGGAGGTCTGGCGGTGGCATCTCTTTGGGGAGGATTCAGGGAGGTTGGACTGCCTCACCCGCTACCCAAGAGAGGCGGTGGCCCTGGCGAAGAGCACGCTCTTCGGGGCTCCAAACATTTCGAACGGATAGGCTACCACACACAAACACAACAACATGAAACACCAGCGAGTCGGTTACCTTGACGTCTGCGTTGCCACACATAAAGTTGCGCAGGAAATCAAACATGATGATGATCTCCTGCAGGAACGGCTCCTCCTGAGGACATTGTACGTTTAGTTTTAGTAAAAGTTTTAAGGCACTTGCAACACAATAAGGTCATTTAAGTGCCGAAGATTAGAGGTGTTACAAGAGAGTAACAACAACAAAAAAGGAGGAGGGGAGATAAAGACGATCGATGTTCGATAGGAAAGAAGAAGCAAACCACACCAGAGCACCCACCAACTACCCACTTAGTGAAAGTTTTACGACACTTGCAACACAATAAGGTCATATAAGTGCCGAAGACTAGAGGTGTTACAAGAGAGTAACAACAACAAAAAAGGAGGAGGAGAGATCAAAACGATAGACATTCGATAGGAAAGAAGAAGCAAACCACACCAGAGCACCCGCCAACCGCCCACGGACATTGTAAGAACAAGCTACATAAAATATTAATAATTAATGATTGCATTTATAAAGCGCATATCCATTTTGCTTTAGGGGGTGTTTCACGGCACTTGCAACACAATTAAGTCATATAAGTGCCGAAGATTAGAGGTGTTCCCGGCCCATGCTGTTATACAGAAATTTATCATTATACAGAAAGACACAATGAATTATCTGCGCCCCACCTATGTGTACCAAGGATCCACTCACCTTCTTCCCCCCAGACTTGACCATGCCCAGGGTCTCCAGGCTGAGCTGGGCGTGTGTCTGTTTGACGTGTTCTATGGTAGACTCCACCAGGCCCGCTGTACCCAGGGACAGAAAGAAACTCTTGTCTAGTTAAGTTTTAGTACGAATTTTACAGCACTTGCAACACAATAAGGTCATATAAGTGCCGAAGAATAGATGTGTTGCAAGAGAGTTTTTTTTTTTTAAGTAAGAATTTTATGGCACTTGCAACACAATAAAGTCATATAAGTGCCGAAGAATAAATGTGTTGCAAGCGAGTTTTTGGTTGTTGTTTTTTTTTAAGTAACAGTTTTACAGCACTTGCAACACAGTAAGGTCATATACGTGCCGAAGAATAGATGTGTTACAAGAGAGTAACATACACAAACAAGAAGGAGGAGAGATAAGGACGATTGATGTTTGATAAGAAAGAAGGAGCAAAGCACACCAGATGGCCTGCCAACCACCCACTAAACTCTTGTTTAACGTACAGAACAAGAAGAGTACCAAAAACAAGTGAGGTAGCCTACAAAACTAGAGCATAAGGAAAGAAGGCAAAGAAAACTTCACAAATCTGTTTATGTGTAGCTGCTTTAAAAAAATTTTTTTAGGTACATTTCAGTCAAACCTGCTCTAAGAAAGAGTCACCTGTTCAAGACAATCACCTGCACAAACCACCACTCACTTCCCATCCCCCCCCCCCCCTCCTTGCGTATGTTTTAAATATTAAAATGACACTGTCCGAAACAACTACCTGCCGAAGACAATCACTTTTCTCCTCGAAAGTGGGTGGTTGTTGTGGACGGTTCCAACCGTCTTATAGCAGAACATCTTGTTCTTTTTTAGTTTTAGGAAGTGTTTTACGGCACTTGCAACACAATAAGGTCATATAAGTGCCGAAGATGAGAGGTGTTACAAAAGAGTAACAAACACAAAAAAGAAGGAGAAGAGATAAGGACGATAGATACTTGATAGGAAAGAAAAAGCAAAAGGCAAACCACACCAGAGCACCCGCCAACCACCCACAAACATCTTGTTCTTAATGGGAAAAATAGAAGGAAGAGGAAGCAGGGGCAGACCCAGAGAAACTTACTTGAAAGACAGCTGGGTGATGGACAAGGAGAATATACAGTTTTTGATAGCATGCAAGCAAAGAAATGAATGGCGACCCATGATTTCCAATGCCTGGTTCAGAACTTTATGGCGATGTATAGCAGGATCATTAACACAGTTCTGAGAACAGGGCCACAACAGCCAGCCTCAAAGGCCTACAATCACAATACGAGATTTGATGGCTTAAAAAAAAAAAATATATAAAAAATAAATCGATTGACGAATCAAAGAGACTCTCCTTAGGCATAATATGATGACCCAAAAAGCAACATACAGCACTTGCAACATCTGACAATTACATCCCTCATCAACACTTTGAGGACCAAGAAGACAGAAATAGTAAAAGTAAGTCATACGGGGTGGTCATTTTTCTTACAAAAACGACAAAAGGAAAAGGAAGGCCACGCAACAGGTGGATCGAGGGTGTCAAGGAAACCCTGAGAAATATAATATCACAACTGAAAGAGCTGCGGAGTTGGCCTACCTTAGAAAACTGCATCTCCCCATAACGCTTAACGGCAACAGAAGATGAAAAAAAAAAGGAAAGTAAGTAATGACAAAAGGAAGACTATATTCAGACTACAAAGAGGTGAAATCAGGACGACAGACCAGGGTAGACAGTATGTAGAAAAAAATAAGAAAAGGAAAAAAAATGGATTGATGGAATCAATGTTCCCTCCTACCTTCTAGAGCGGTCACTTTGGCCGACTGTGACACGGCCAGCAGAGACTTGAGGGTGCTGACCACACGGAGTCGAACCCCGGACCTCTGGCCCCCGGCCCGTCTCTTCTCCTCGCCCGCCGAGGACGTGACCGTGTCGAAGAGACCGACCAGGACCTTACACAGCAGGCGGCCGGCTGTCTTCTCCTCCGGATTACCCGATTCTGTGCCTGCTGGAAGAACATGGAGGAACAAGAAAATGTAGGTGTTTTTACATCCCCATTGACACAATTAAGATTATTTAGGAGGCAGGTCTGGACCCTATCTGACGGAAAAAAATTACACTCACCAAACATGTGAAAGCAAATGAATATAAATATCTTATCATATACAAGCCAAGAGTATAATCCATAAGTTTCTGAAAGCGCAGCTTTTTATTTAAAAGCAATATTCCAATTTTTCTTTGAGTTATGATATTTCTTCTGGGTCCTATTACATCGTTTTCTTGATGCAAGCCTGCAAGAACTAATTCACTCATTTTTCGCCAAACGAACACTCTGACAATGTGAAACTAGATCTTTTCATTTCCTAGACCCTTTAAAAGTTTTCAATAACAATAATGAGTACTTATAAATGACGGATCATGTTAAAACGAAACAAAAGTGAGGCATCCCCATCATGGCCGATATATCAGCGATAGGTCCGGAAAGAGAAAGGACAAAACGTTGTTTCCCAGAAGGCCTCACCTTCCTCCACACAGAGAGGGGCATCCAGGAGCTCGGACAGCGAGGCCGACTCGCAGATCCTGTCGGGGTTCTTCACCAGACTCTTGGCCTCCTCGCAGCACAACAGCCCCAGGAAGTTGAGACAAGCTGCGTGCTGGGTGGCGCGACTCGAGCTGTTCTCCTCTAGCATACAGCCCAACGACTCTGAAAGGTACGACGGAGAAACATTGGTTAGTTGCTTTGTTTTTTAAATTTTTTTTTATTTTGGGAAAACATTGGTAAGTCGTTTTGTTATTTTTTGTTTTTTTATTTTGGAAAAACATTAGTTAGTTGTTTTGTTATTTTTTGTTTTTTTATTTTGTTTCTTTCCTATTTTTTTGGGGTCACGTGTCCCTTTTTTTGGGAGCCATGTTAGTGATCTTAATCGTACCAGTCATTGATGAAGAAAATGTAAAGGAGTATGTACAATGATATTAAAAACATTCAAATGAATCTACGAGAGAATGTGAATAACAAAAAGAAGACATTGTTGTTGCTGGCAAACAGAACGTTGGATAAGATAGATAATACTTAATTGATCCTTGGTTGGAGGAATTTTGCTATGTTTGAATTACAAAGTTCTAACTGATCGGTACCTACATTGTTTAAAACAATTTTTTCTTCTTCTTTTTTTGTCCTATGCCCCTTTTCCGGCGCCATGTAAGTGACCTTTTAGTTAGCTTAAGTAAAAGTTTTACAGCACTCGCAACAAAATAAGGTCATATAAGTGCCAAAGATTAGAGGTGTTACAAGAGAGTAACAAACATAAAAAAGAAGGAGGAGAGATCAGGACAATAGATGTTCGATAGGAAAGAAGGAGCAAACCACAACAGAGCACCCGCCAACAACCCACTGTTAGTGACCTTATTTGCACCAGACAATCATTGACTAAGAAAATGTGAGGGAGTTTGTACAACGATATTTCAACATAAAAATGGATCTAAGAAAGAATATTATGAAGAACAAAAGGAAAACATCGTTGTTGCTGTTGTTTGTATGTTGGCAAACAGAATATCAGATAAGACAAGATACATTTTAATGATCCTCATTTGAACTGACTGGGATTGAGGCCTGGGCATAAAAAATAAGAAGATAAAAACAGAATCCAAGCTGCCGCAATATGATTTTACTGAGGACTGCTTCAGGTACAAACGACCTGGTAAAAGAACACATGAAAGTATCCTGAAAGAACTTGGTACACAACAAGGTTAGTCTAAGATCAGCAAAAGGAGACTCAAGTTCCTCCATTCCATACACAAAAACATGAAAATAGACCCGATGACAACTGGGCTAAATGAATACAGTCAACATTTTCTAAGACAGCCACTCATTATCAATGAAAAAAGTGGCCGTCTGACACAGCGTAATTATAAAAGAAAACACAAGGGGAGAAATGGGAAGTGGCTATTTGTACAGCTGATTTCTTATACAGGTTAGCCACTTCCCATTTTAAAGTACATATGACTGTATTTTAACAGAATACAAAATTTTCAAAGAATTCTGTACACAAACGAAAAAGGAAGTCTCTGGATTGCAAATTTCAGAAAGCAGGAAAATGTGTCATTACCAGTTGTTTTTTTCTCTGCAGTCTTAAATCAGTTACTAAATGTGTACGACATGGTGGAATCAGGCGCTCGTCAATTTTGGGTCATATGGAGTTATTGATATCATCTTAAAGCCTATCCATTTGCTTTACTTTTGATGAAAAAAATATCAATCTATCTAGAATAGAAATAGAGATATTTGTGGTTGAAGGAAGTCAGAGTCACCTGGTTTCAAACGTAAAATTACAGAGAAAATGGCTCCCTAGTTTGGTAACTTCCATTGCCTGAGAGTACTTGGAAACTGAAAATTTACATTTTTTGTGCCTTATTAATGTTTTAAAAAAATAAAATCCATACAAAAATGTGTTTTTAAATGGATATAAAAGGTGTTGAGCAAAAAAGAAAATTAGAAAAAAATTGCCATTCGGCCCCCCCTAAAAAAGCCGAATTTCTTTGATTTAATTATTTTGATGAGCGCCTGATTCCATCACGATGCCTAACAAATGACTTGTCACCTGTGAGCGGAGCCCAGATCTGTCCCACCACAGAGGTCAGAGTGGTCAGGGCAGGCTGTCCCGCCGTCTGTAGTAAACTGGTCAGTAAGTCCAACACACTGACCGATACATTGAGGCACACTTCACCCAGGTCGTCTTTTTCTGAGACAAAAAAAAGAAGAGAAAAGAGTCCCTGGTTTAGTTTTAGTAAGTGTTTTACGGCACTTGCAACACAGTAAAGTCATATAAGTGCCGAAGATTAGAGGTGTTACAAGAGAGTAACAAACACAAAAAAGATAAGGAGGGGAGATAGAGACGACAGATTTTTTTATAGGAAAGAAGGAGCAAACCACACCAGAGCACCCGGCAACCACCCACTGTCCCTGGTTTAGATTAACACATCGAGGGCAATACAAGCATAATGCCCAGCATAAAACGATTAGCAAAAAGCTTGTGCAGTTAAGTGAATCGCGACCTCAGTGCTTTCTTGTCGTATCTCCATTTTTTTTTTAACATGGAAAATGTGATTTCTTCTTCTTATTTTATTATCATTATTATTATTATTCTCATTATATAATAATAATAATAATTATTATTATTATTATCGCCCATGCAGGTAGGGGGGGGGGCATGGGGGAGCAAAGAATACGCCTGCCATTATACTGCTTTCCTAGTAGGCGACTAAAGGTGCATAGGTCAGGTCACCCGAAAAGTGCCAGTTCGCGGAGGACCAACTACCCGACCCAGTAAAAACAGTCAGTTACAGAAAATCTTGGGAGATGGAGGAACTTCAGCATCAGTAGGAACATCAAGAGGCTAGCCCAGGATAGAGAAAGGTGGAAAGTGTCTGTCCGTGGCCTATACCCTGGTGCAGGGTGAGAAAGGCCTGATCAGCCATCTCCGCACACACCTCACCCCTCCAGTGATGTGAAGTCAAGGTCATCTTCGCCAGCGGAGGATGAACATTGTTATTATTTTTATAATTATCATCATCATTATTATTATTATTAAATCATTACTGCTGTTGTTATTGTCATTATCATTATTATTGTTATTATTGGTATTATTATTATTTTTATCATTATTAGTCGTATTATCATTATTATTTTTATTATTATTATCACTATAATTATTATCGTTAAATGACCAATCTGTAGGTTTACCTACCTCTCCACTGCAGCAGCAGTAGTGAAGCCAGAGACGTGAGGCCCGAGGAGTGGCGCAGCAGCTCCATGCGAGTGTTGGTGTCAAGGACAACGCACGAGGTCAAGAGGTCGGCCACCGCCCCGTACATGCGCAGGAAGTCCATCAGGTTGAGCGCACAGGCCGACCCCATCTGACCAGCGGTCATCTCCTCACACAGCACCTGGACCAGGCCTGGGTCCACAGCGCTGAGAGGATAAGATAAAATAAGGTAGGGTAAATTGAGATGAGATAAGGTAGGAAAAGATTAGATGAGATAAGATAAGGTAAGATAAGAAAGGATAAGATGAGATGAGATATGGTAAGATAAGAAAGGATAAGATGAGATGAGATATGGTAAGATAAGAAAGGATAAGATGAGATGAGATATGGTAAGATAAGAAAGGATAAGATGAGATGAGATATGGTAAGAAGAGATAAGGTAAGATGAGAAGAGATGAGATGAGATAGGGTAAAATAGGATAAGGCAAGATAAGATGAGATAAGATAAAATACCATGAGAAAAGACAAAATAAGGTAAGACAAGATAAGATGAGATAAGATGAGATAAGATATGATAAGATAAGATAAGAGAAGGTAAAATAAGGTAAGGTAAGATAATGTTAGATAATATAAGATAAGAACATTGATACGATAGCAGCCTTTTGCAGCAGGGAAAAGGCAAGGCGAAGACAAAAAATCAGAAGGAAAGAAAAGAACTATTAAAAATTTTTTAAAACTTTCATCACAAAGGTGTTAACAGATTTTGGAGGGTTAACAAAAAAATACCAAACAAGATAAGACAAGCTAATTGAATAAAGAAGCCAAATGTATGCCACACGACTTTTAGTTTTAGTGTTTTAGTGTAGAGGTTTTACGGCGCTCGCAACTGCAAAAGGTCATATGAGCGCCAGAAGATTAGAGGTGTTACAAGAGAGTAACAAACATAAAAAAGAAGAAGGGGAGATAGGGATGATAGATGTTTGATAGGAAAGAAGGAGCAAACGACACCAGAGCACCCGCCAACCACCCGCTCCACACGACTTTAAAAATGTTTTCACACCCTTAACTCTTTGAACCCCATCAGACGCTGGGAGAGTACAGTACTAGTGACAACTGTTTCGTTTCATTTAAAGCTAGTTTTTTCTTGTTTTTTTCAAACTATTCCCGAACCAAGTTTTTTAGAAATGACTAAGCCTTTGTTTACGCTATTTAGAAGTTTGAGGCAAGCTTTTGCGGTTATAATGACACATAGTGCACTAGGTTTAGGTGACTGTAGAAAAAAAAACTCTGGGGAAACGGTGAAAAGAATTCAGGGCTTAAAGAGTTAATTTTGAAAGTTACCAAAAACTGAACTCACTTGAGTAGTGAGGTTATGAGAGAGTGACTCTTCATGTCGCTCAGGCTTCTCTGGGGGGTCAAGTTGACCAGGTTGGTCATCAGCTTGACCACGGCACACAGCACGCCCGGGGTGGCAATGTTCTGACCCTCTGGGACTGTAGTCTGGACGGTGGTGGCCGGACGTGCATGCACTCTCTCTTGGGGGACGTCTCCTGGGATTTTTAGTTTTAGTTTTAGTAAGGGTTTAACTGCACTTGCAACACAATAAGGTCATATAAGTGCCGAAGAATAGATGTGTTACAAGAGAGTAACATACACAAAAAAGAAGGAGGGGAGATAAGGATGATAGATGTTTGATAGGAAAGAAGAAGCAAACCACACAAGAGCACCCACAATCCACCCACATTTATCAAAACATGTATCAGTCTCTCTCTCCAACCACCCATGATAACCAGCTTATAATGTACTGAAACAAACCAAGATAGGCAGAAAAAACAGCGGGAAAGAATTTCATTGTTCATTGTTTCAGGAAGCAACATCCCTGCATTCCGAACACGTCCATTCATGCTCCGTTGCTCTCTCCAAAATTTCGCTAAGGGTCTTTCTATTGATTGTGCCAGTGCATATCAAGTTGAACGTTCTTCTGTTCTTTCCTGCAAAGGGTGCCAGACTTTCCGCTTCCTTTCTGTATTCCCAAAACCATCATCCTCTCCACAGTGGGAAAGAAAAAAGTAGTAAAGGGTACTTACCCTTTTAGTTTTTGAAGGAGTTTTAGGGCACTCGCAACACAATAAGGTCATATAAGTGCCGAAGACTAGAGGTGTTACAATACAGTAACAAACACAACAAAAAGGAGGAGAGATAGATGTTTGATACGAAAGAAGGAGCATCCGCCAACCACCCACCTTAACGCAGGGAGAAAGCAAGAGGACAAAAAAGAACCATAGGAAAGAAAGAAACAGATAAGGGCCATCCGCACTTCTTTCAGCAAAAACGCAAAAATAATGTGGGGAAAATTCTTCCTCCCAACCTTGAGATCCCCGAGGAGTCTCCATATTGGAGGACGAGCTCAGGCTGTTCTCTTGTAAGGCTGCCAGACCCGACGCTTTACTCCGGTCTGTCGAGAGGGTCTGCCGAGAAATAAGGAAGCCAGAACATAAAAGCTACAGAGGCCGACATAGATTGTATGTTGTTGGGGTTTTTTGTAAAGTTTTACGGTGGTCGCAACTGCATAAGGTCATATGAGCGTCAAGGGGTGGATGTCAACAGAGAAGTCCAAACAGGGAATCAGGCTTACTCTACTCACTTCTCTAGCCTCAATAGCACAAAGTCTGCTTCGACTATCAAGGCACCCTGGAAATAGCAGTTCACAAGAGAGTGACAAACATACAAAAGAAGTAGAGGAAAATGATGATAGCAAGGATGAGGAAAGAAAAAGCATGACATTGATAAATCACCCCACTTACAAGAAAAAAATGCACAATGTAGGCACAACTTAAGAAAAATAATCAAACAAGTTTTTTTCTCACTCTCCTGAAATATTTCGCTTTCTAGGCTTAGAACAGTTAGAAAACTTGCCTGGGATATATATATATATATATAAATATATATGAAACTGATATATCTTATATTCATATATTCTCACCTTTGATCTTGCTGTGATGTTGGGCGTGGGGTGGGTGGACAGACTAGACACACTGGTGAGTGCTGTGGCCCCGGTGCGGTCCAGGCTGCTTGCATCTGATGAGGGAAAAAGAGAGAAATGACTCCCGATTTCTCGTAAAAATCCATCAAAAACTGGTAGCAAGGTTTTTAAAAAAAATGCACCATATCCTCTCCTTCCCATTGATAATTAATGCTCCAGACAGATAAGGGTAGGTGTGAAATAGCAAAGAATCCTGCTTCCAAGAGAAAAAAAATGAGATAAATGAATAACTCTATTGCACCTTTTGTTTGAGTAAAGAAACGTGAAAATAACCAACCTGTGTCCTGCGCGCTCATATGACCTTATGCAGTTTCTAGTGCTGCAAAATTTTACACCCCCCCCCCCCCCCCCCCCTTACAATAAAAGAGGGAAGCACATTGACATTCAAAAAGGTCAGTTTAAGTAGGGAAAAAGTAAGACAGACAGACAGACAGAAACAGCTGAGGGAAAGAAAAGAAGTAGGAAGCCTGTCACAAAAGAAGCAAGCATGGCAAGTTCATCATTATTAGACGATAATTAGTCTAGTTAACAATTTGCAGTCACAAAGCCAGCAGTACAAAATACCCCAACTGGTCACCCAGCCAGGAGAGTGACTGCAACGAACTTCCTGGGCCTGGCGCAGGTGCCAGATGACCTGAACAGATAGTGTTAAAGAGTTTTTCCAATTGAATTCAAAGGAAGCAAAAAAATGAGATGAGACGTTTCATTTTGCTAGCGCAGTGGCAATCTGACCTGTTGACTCCTGATGCTAAACGACTGACAATTATCTAACCTGTTGACCCCTGATGCTAAACGACTGACAGTTATCTAACCTGTTGACCCCTGGGGCTAAATGACTGACAATTATCTAACCTGTTGACCCCTGGGGCTAAACGACTGACCTGAGGAGGAGAGGGAGGAGTTGGCGGTGGACTCCAGCACCAGGGGCAGCTCTGTGGTCACCAGGATGGGCTGGATGACTGACGGGGTGTACAGCGAGGTCAAGAGGTCAGCCGCCACGCTGTAAAAGTTGGTGTGACTCAGCAGGGCGATCAGAGCGTCCACTCCCACCAGCATCACCTGGGGGCACACACACAGAAACAAATTTGGTCATGAAAGCATAACCCAGATATCTCAAAATTTACACAACATTAACAATGGAAATGGGCTAGTCACAAAAGAGGAATGTTTGTTTTAGTAAGGTTTTAAAAAAATGTTTAGTAAGAGTATCACGGCACTTGTTACACAATAAGGTTATATAAATGCTAAAGATTAGAGGTGTTACAAGAGAGTAACAAACACAAAAAAGAAGTAGGGGAGATAAAGACAATAGATGTTTGAGAGGAAAGAAGAAGAAAACCACACCAGAGCACCCACCAACCAACTTTAGTAAGGTTTTACTGCGCTTGCAACAGTCTCTTTGTTTGGGATTTTTTTAAAGAGTAAAGAAAAGCATATCTATACAACAAATGTCATTAAGTGCTCAGAAAAAGGACAAAAGACAGACAAAAAGAACAGAGAAAGAGAAAAGAATGGCTGTTTCACTAAAGAGAAATACATCCACGTGAAAACAGTCATTTATTGCTGGAAAAGCGTAAGCCAGACAAACAGAAACAATGAACAGAGAGAAAAGAAGTAGGATCAACTACCCTCCAACAGACAGACAGACAAACACACAACCTGTTTATATTAAAGCAACGAGTATGAAGCCCTCATGAAAGAAAAGGGTCACACTTCAATTAGACATATTTTCTGTCTACAAACAACAAAAAACAAAAAACAAAATACAATTTGGAAAGAAAAGTAAACATAAATTAATCCACTTTTAGTCTGATCTCCTCCCTGATTTTTAAAAAAGATAGCTAAATAAATATATAAAAAATAAGTTATAAAAAATTTAACACTAAATTTAAAAAAAGAAAGAAGATAAATAAATAAATAAAATAGAACAACGAAAACAAAATTAAAAAATAAATAAATGAAAATTTTATTGCAACTTCCTAGACTTGTTTTTCTTTCTCCAAAGCCAAACTGTCCCAGACTGGGATCATGCAGTAACTGTACGGTACCTGATAGTCCGTGTCGGTGACCAGCGGGCCTTGCCAGGTGCCAGGGCCGGTCTCCAGGTCACCGCTGGGCATGCTCTGGGAGGTCAGGTTGACCAGTAGGAGGGCGGCCTGGGATGGAGGAGGAGAACGAAAGGATTTAGAAAACCCTCTGCTCCCAACATATTATCCAGACTCCTCCATTATGCAGACTTTTCCATTAACTGGACTTTTCCATTATCTGGACATCTCCATTATTTGGATTTTTCATTTAATTGGAATTCTCCAATATTACCTGGACTTCTCCATCACCTGGATTTCTCCAACATCTAGATTTCTCCGTTATCTGAACCTCTCTATTATCTAGCCTTCTCAATTACCTCCACTTCGTCAATATCTGGAGTCTTCCATTATCTAGACTTCTCATTTATCTGGACACCTCCATTATCAAAACTTTCTCCTTTTATCTTGACTTCTCCATTCATCAGGACTTTGCCATCATCTGAAGTTCTCCTTTAACTGGACTTTTCCATTATCTGGACTTCCAGTTAATCTGGACTATTATCTGCAGTTCTGATTTGTCACAACTTTTCTACTATTTCTTTCCCTTAATCTGGACTTCTCTAATTCTCGTTTAAGTGGACTTATCTTTTGTTAAGTTTATTTCGCCTACTCCTTTTCTCCATTTCTCTTCCTCTCCAATATTTGCACCCACCCCCACCCACGAACCTACATGCTGACACACCATGCTACACTCC